TTTTGAGGAGCTCTCACCAACAGTATCTCATCATCTATCTTCAAATCCCTCATTAACCTCTCCTTTGCCATGATGCAAAAGTCCCTGAAAATAAGGTCCAACTGCTGATATGGTGAGACCAACGCCTACCACATGAACCAATGGTTTATCATCATCCTCTTGTATGCCCTGTCTGCCTGTATCTATCTCTTCATTTATATGCTTCAGATGGTAAAGGACTTCGGGCAAGGACTAATAATTGGGACTAATAATTGTCCTTGTTGTTGCTTTTGTTCAGCACCTAGTACTATGGGATCTGGGTTTATGACTAGGCCCTTAACTGCTACAGTAACGCAAGCAAGGAGCACAAGACAATAAAGTTACAAGACTTTACAGATCTGCATCCAGCTCATACCCTCACTTGCTCCTTTCGTTCCAAACCTGCACACATCTGTTTGCCACTGAGCATGTGAAATGTAGGTTAAGACGACAAACAAGAAACACTGCCCGCTTCCCATCAGCCCAGAGGCTGGTTTGTTTCTGAAACACAATGGTTATGTGTGCATGTGTGCGTTTAGCTTGCTGTATAACCAAGCTATTCCGTTTTGAATATCGACAGAGAGAGGTTTAAAGTAAACAGGACACTGCCTGTTTTTTTTCCATTCATTGTATGACATCAGCAGCCACCTTCCTAGCCTGTCCCTTAAAGTGAATAACCCACCGCTTTACAGACCTGTGGGTGGTCACCTGTGTTATCACTCATTTGCAGAGCTCAAAGAAAGTTAGACAGGAAAAAACAAGCAGGTTTTTCTGAGAGGGAAGAATATGAAAAGAAAGAAACAAATTAAATCTACAGTTGAGGATCTAGTTGATTTACTTAATTGAAAAATACATTGTACTTGTTATGACTAAGCCTGGAATTCACTCAGCGAAGTAGGCAAACCAGTCAACAGTTATTCATCAGCATTCATCCATGCCACCAGGTGGAATTCACCTGCACTTTAAGGACCCATAAATATCCCGTCAGTATTAACTGACCCTCTCTTGGAAACAAATGTATCTGAAATGCCTATCTAAGAAAGGTGCGGGTACGCAAGCCAAAAGGCCCTTTCTGACAGAGTCAGTACTAGCAAGTGTTCAGAAGTCCTCAAGCACAATGAACTCAATAGAAGATATTTCTAAGCAATTAACCTGTCATGACTGTAATTTCCATCAGCCACATGTGGACTCTTTTATTTAGTGACTAGAGCAGAAAAGAGAACATTAATTCTTGCTCAATACCAGTATGTTTTAGACCAGATTCTCAGGGGACGTGTCTACTTGTGCTTTTATGTGCGCCTAAACTTAATGTACATTTGCCTAATGCGCATTAAGGTGATTTAGGCTCGTGTCAACATGTGCATGCTTTAAGGTGCATTAACAGGGTAGGCGGACTGACTTGGGACTAAAGTTAATCCCAAGTCAGTCAGCATACACAGCGTTAATGTGTCTACATGTGCGTGAAGGTGCTTCAGCTTTTCATGCTTAAATTTGATACCTGCAAATTCATATATTTAGGCATGAATAACCTAAAATTCCTATTTTAAGGAACATTAAGGGCATGCACATGTAGATGTGTGCCCTTAATGTGCCTTAAAGTGGGCTAAAGTGCCTTAAATCAGCACGTGTAGATGCACCCAGGGAACTATTCTGATTTGTATTCATGAAGATTTGGTCCTGTGCACCTAAACGCAGTTGCTAGAGTGGAACTTCAGAGAGCAATTACATGAAAAAAATTAAATCAAAATATAACAGAAAGCAATAACCTAAAACACCTTCACATAACAAAAACAGAACAACTCTTAAACTTGAGTTGTTCCCAGATCAGATATCTAAGCAGGATTCCCTTGCTCATCAGGCTGTGAAAGGGAGGGAAGAGAGTGCAGGAATCAGTTTTACTAAGTATTCCCCTTACTGCATTTTATCCTGGGGCTTTTGGCACCCTGACAATATCCCAGAATGCAAGATGACAAAGAAAAGCTCTGCAATGCACAAAAATCCTGGTGTTTGGGATGTCCACAATAATATGTTCAAGGATACAGTCAGAAAAAATGGAAATGTACAATTTCATTTTATGGAGGGAAAAAAAATTATAAAATGATTGGTTAAAACTTATTTCCATGCTGAATGTCTCTTTGCAAGGCCTCCGACCAAACAAACTCAGCATATGCCTCTGCAGACACAACCAGGTTACAGCTTGATAATGGATACAATCTGATAGGCTTCAGTCAACCTATGCTTGGTTAGGAAGCATTAATTGTTTGCAGGCTGAAGTCCTCAGTTAACATCGAAATCTGATTATTGTTACTGGTAGGGTCACAAGCCCTGTGTGTGCATTCAGGGTACATCTACACCAGTAGATCTCAACTGGGGTGCCATGAGACCCTTTCGTTGGTGCCACCACAATGGCAAGATGAAACTGCCCCACCCATGTCATGCACCTGCAGATTGGGAAGTGGCTGTAGCAGAAGGGGTGCTCTTGCCCGTGTTAAGTTTCTCAGATAAATCTAATGCAGGCAGGAGCACCTGCTCTTGCCAGAGCCTTTTGCAGTTTGGCCATGCATACTCCCCGTGGAAACAGAGGCACATGGGGCAGTTCCATTTGGTGGCGGCAGCAGCAGCAGCAGCAGCAGCAGCAGCAGCAGCAGCATGGTGATGTGGCAGCTTGCAGAAACACAGGAAAGACAGAGAGAAGTCTTTAGGTTGCCAGGCTGCTCTCACCACCACCAGGTGGAACTGCCCCGTGTGTCTCTGTTTCCAGGGGGAGCTGGACTGGGAGGGCTGCAGCAAGAACAGGCACTCCTGCCCACATTAGATTTATATCAGGTAGGAACACCTGCTCTTGCTGCAGCTGCTTCCCGGTCTGGCTCCACATAAGGTGTGTACTGTGTAGGGCAATTTCAGCTGGTGGCAGTTGTGGCAGTATCCCAGTTGAGAAGCACCGAGGTAAGCTGAGGCAGTACAGCAGTAGCCCTCAACCAGGGTGACATTAAATTAAAAAAACTGATGGAGAAATACCTTGAATCTAAAACGTTTAATAACCACTGGTCTATGCTGTAACCAAAGGTGTGTGCATACACAGCAGTGATTCTCAACTAGGGCATCAGGACACCCTACACAGGCGCTTTGAAGGGTGCCACTAGGTGTGAGGAGATAAATGAGGAGTAAGGAGATAAGCAGATAAGATAAGCCAGGCTCAGGCTTGTCCCTTCCTGGATGATTCTCCCACCCTTACTGCCCAGTCCATGTGTAAGGAGGTTAGCACTGTAATCTATAAATTATTTTTTGAAATGGGTGCAGGTCAAGTGACAAAAATAATGGAGCGGTGCCTCGAGTCCAGTGCGAGGTGCCTCAAGCCCACAAAAGTGGCAAACCCCTAGTGTATAGCACAAGGAGGCACACCCATTTGTGACAGACTATGGGATTTATTGTAATATTTCCGTAATATTTTCATGTTGTTACAATGTTGCATAGCTCAGTTTACCCAGAAAACTAGTACATGGGAAAGGAACAGGTTAAGAGACAGTGAAGCAAGAGATCTGTCTAAGTGTGGGACAGGTCAAGATGGACATTTAGCATCAACAGAGACTTGAACAACCTTGTTGATACATCAACAAATGTGAGAAAGTCAACACCCTGCAGATGGGAAATAAGCCAAATAAGATGAGCATAACGATGGAGGGGGGAGTGTAAACGAGGGGTGGTGGGGAAAGGAGAGAGACCAGCAGAGCAGTTTGGGGCTCAGGAGCTGGGCTGACTGGAAAGAGAACAATGGAGCGAGCTTTCAAGGGCACTTTAGGCTGTGTGGACTATACTGGGGACAGAAGAACTGTTTAACTCTTCCAAGCCAGGGCAGAGAACCACTGGCTAGTTGACCTTCGCCCAATAAACATCTTTATTGGTGCGGAACCATATGCTAGCTCTTTGAATAAGGGCTATGGAGAAACAAGGAAAGTAAGAATCTGAAAGGCCAGGCAGGGTCTCAGTGTATGCTAGACACCACACCTGGGCTGGCTTTGGGGGACAGTCTCACAGACCAGACAAGGCTGTGGCAGCCCTGAGCAAACACCGCCTTGGTGGGGACTCTGTGACATCACTCCAGTTTCAATCTAGCATCAGCAGCAGCAAAGATACAGGAGTGTAGAGTGTTGACGCATAAAGCAAGTACTTACCCAGAGTCCCTTGCAGGCTTGCACAACTTATGCTGAAGTCCTTACTGCAGCATCTTGTTAACTACAGTAGCTAAATTAAACCAAGTGCAGAGATGTCTACCCATCTTGAAATCACACCTTTGAACGCAGCATAGACATATGATGATAGACACTCCCTGTGCCCAAGACCTTATAATATAAACACTGCCATTTTCCAGGTGGGAAACTTGAGACACAAGGAGATTAAGGGCTAGCTCTTCAAAGGTATTTAGTTGCTCAACTCCTACTTAAACATCTCATTTCCACTGAAGTCAAATGAATGTAGGATATATCAACGCCTTTGTGGCTCTAGGCCTGAATGACTTGTTCAAAGTCACATAGGAACGCTGTGGTAGAGCCAGGAACTGAACCCAGATTTCTTAAGACCCCAATTCAGTGCTTTAACTACAACATCATCTTTCTTCAGGGTATAATTCTAATTTTTACCTTGAAATTTGCCTTCAAACTATCATTGCTATTTCTGCATTGCCTTCAGCCTTAGAGTGATTTTATGGCTAATATTCGGCCTGAAGTGATCCTGAAGCATTTACTGCAGTAAAAGCAGAGTGAAAAGCATGGATAATGCTAGCTTGGCAACAGCTGGACTTTCCTTCAGCTCACCTAATGGAGGAGTCTTCTCAAGATTTTGCAGGGCTTAGTGCAAGTCTCAGCTGCTATGGGGAGTGCTTCTTACAAGTTCATCTAATCTAGCCAGAAACAAGGGCTCTGTTGAGCATCTGGATGCGGCATGAGGAGTATAATAGGTCAAATAATTCCATCATTTTCACTTACTATTTGAAGAACACCAAAATATGCCAGGAGATACCCAGACTCTGCTGCCTCCAGTCCAAAGAAATCCATAGAGATGATGGAGAACATAATCAGGAACAAACCTGAATGGTAGTTATTGGAAAGAAAAACTTTTTGGAGGACTACAGTTATAGTGCAATATTATCATACAAATAAAGGGCCAGACCTTGCTATCAGCCATTACTGGCATAGAGTCAAGAGATTTACTTTGGACTCCAAGTGACTGGGCGTAGACAATAGGTGAATCAGGCTCAAAGTCAATCGAATAGATTTTTTGGATTTTTCAATCTTTAACGTGAGCCTATTTTTTAAATCTTTAATATCCTTATAACTTTTACCATTAAAGCAATACCTCTGTGTAAGAGAGAGCCTGGGGATCCTTGTATAAAGGCAGCCCAGCCAGGGACCTCTGCAGGCTAGCAGCTGCAGGTTGCTGGGGCACCAAGCTACTGGGCAATTAGCAGACACCTGCAGGTGGTCAGCTGGCCAGAGATAGGCAGGGCCCTACGGGCATATAAAGCTGGGGCTTGGGTTGGCAAGCCAGTCTAGTTGGGTCAGCTGCAGGATTAGCAGCTCCTGCCCAGGAGCCCCAGCAACCCAGGCATGCTAGGTAGATTGCTCTGCTGCATTCAGGAATGCTGAGGCTCGGGGAGTTCACAAGGAACCGGCGCTGGGAGGTACGCTGGCACAAGAGGTGAAAGAAGGTTTGCCCTCTTAAAGGACCAGAGGGCTGCTTCCATTATTGCTGTTTATGTTACAGCCCAGGGGCTTATGGTTTACATTACTGTTTCTACCAGCAGTTTGTGTTGGTATTGTAAGGGGAGCTAAACAGAGGTCCCATTAGTGTCTGAGCAGTACACGACTGCCTTGAGTCCTGTGAGGGGCAGGCTCAAGGCCCTAGTGAGTATTGAGCACAGAGTAGGCGTAGTGCTAGGCACAGAGTGAACAGGATCCCAGTGCCCAAGAGGGTCCCAGTGCCCAGTGCCAAAGGCCTGGTGCCTGAGAGGGGCACAAGCACATAGGGGCCAGGATCCCGGCAGATGGGGGCCAGGGGTCTGGTGACTGGAAAGGGACGAATTGGAGTTAGTGCCTCAAAACCAGGTCCAATATAGTGGGCCTAGGCTCCATGGTTTAGCTAAAGTAAAGGGGTGGAGGCCGAAGCCCCAACAGTAACACCCATGAGGCATGGGGCATGGTGTAAGGAAGGATTTGGAGCCACCCAATTAGCCCTTAAAGCTTTGGGTGCCCTGCAGGGCACAGTTGACTTAAGAAGCCCTTTGAGGAGCTTGAGGCCCAGTGGGCTGCTGGGAAACCCTAGTGGAGGTTCAGGCAAAATGGGGCCACACAAAGACCTGCAGGCAGCCTCCCTATTTGTATCATATTTCCATTAAGGCGTGGCAGGGGAGAG